TCCTCACCTCACCTCACCTCACCTCACCTCACCTCACCTCACCTCACCTCACCTCACCTCATCCCCAGCACTCTGCACCAGATTATGGGCTAGACAAACCGATCGTCGTTGGAGAGTTTGCTGTAAAGTACGGAGGCGGTGGCATGACGACAAACGAGTTGTTCTCCTACGCCTACACCCACGGCTACGCTGGGGCCTGGTCATGGCAGCTTTCCGAGAATGGCCCTGAACAGTTGGCCGCCATAACACACATCAAAGACTTCACTGGAAATGGAAACATTACTATTCACCTCTGAACTCTACTGTCATTTGAGGCTTCGCGAAAACTCCACTAGAAAACCGAAGAGCTTGTTGTGGGGTATGAGTGTTGTAAACACCACCATCGACCTCTGTCTCAAATTCTCAAATCAAGTGGATGGGCCTCAAGAATTACGTTGCTATATTTTTAGTTGTGTTAAAGCCATGCCTTGCCTTATCTTCTGTGACACCCGATCCTACGAATATGCCGTGAGTGTCATCAGAAGAATAAATAGCGTGATGCTGCATCATTTTTCTTCATTTCAGTGTTGTTGTTGTTGTTGTTTTCTCGTTACGCGTACAAGGAGATATCAGTTATTTAACTTAAAAGATTTCTGAAAAAAAAATAATTTTAAATCAAGGTTACCCAGGAAAAGGAAATATGCAGCTTTTGTTGATATTAGCCTGCCAAAATACTGTCACGTTTTGAAAAAGTATAGGACAGAGGGACCTTGCTAGTCATATCTAACTCAGGCTGAGAGGGCTGCGTTATCCTAGTGGAAAGACCAAGACATTAATACGAAATCCTCCCTACACGAACTTGGGTCTCCTGTGTGCTGCAACGAAACGCCTAGCCTCTGCACCGGGGACACCGGCCGGTAGTGAGTACTTTCGTCCGGTTGACCCAAATCACAGCTGCTGAAGTAGCCCGAACGTACGCCTTCTGGTTCGTCAACATTGTGTTTCGTGTTCGTAAACTTTATGAGAAAATGTACATCGGGTCTGAAAGTACTTGAAGGAAGGACTTCGATTCGGACCTGAAGGAAATGGGATACAGCTTGACAGAGGTGCGTGCAGACTGTAGCCCAAGAAAGACATACTTGGAAAGATCTTGTGGTGGTCTATAATACTCCTGCACATGCAGGAGAAAGGCTAAAGATGTTGATACATCTGGACTCATAGTATGATCGCAATGAAGTAGAAGACAAATATTACATAATGTTTTTTTTTTTCATTACAAAAAATAGTTTTTGTATACAGCCTGATTTTAACTAAAGGGACTCTTGTTGTCTAAAGGCACCATGCTTATGTCTCATTCAAAAGATCCCCTGTTCAAAACCTGAAAGAGTCAACATGTCTTCTCTAAAACGGTAAGAATAGGCATCCGGGCAAAATTCAAAATTAATTCCTGTCTAAACGGAAAATACCCTTGTCAGTATACAAATTGATATTAGATTGGTAGTCAACCCCACAAAAGACTCGTAAGATTTGTTTGTATATTTTTTTCAATAAATCTCCAGAGTAGTTTAATGAACTGAAGAAACACTTTAAAATAATATAAGACAATTAAAGAGAGAAGCGTGAAGTGTGATATGTTTTTGGTTTAATAAGAAATGTGGAGAATTTTTCTTTTTTGCTTGTGTGTTTGTTTGTTTGCTGTTGTCATGTGTGCATGTGTGTTTGGGGGGGGGGGCATTTGACCATAGTGTTCACCAATCCCTCTCTAAAAACCCACATTAGATGTCGATAGCGACTTTTCCGTGGTTCGTGTATCCCCGGATGTGGGTCATGCCCTTCCGCTGGTTCCCGCCATGGTTCATGAGGTCCCAGGACCAGGCGCCGGCGTAGCCGTGGTTGTAGACGTAGTCAAACAGCTGGTTGATGTTCATACCGCCGCCATCTTTTTCCCAGAACTCTCCAACCACGATCGGCTTGTGAAGGCCGTATTGGCTAGCTCGGTGCTGTGTGAGAAGTTGGGGAGAGCAAAAGGGAAAAGTTATTTTACGGAGAGTCAATTTGTGAAATAATAGATAAATACATAAAGTTACAAAAAGAAAATAATCTAAACGTCTTAATAAGAAAAGAAAAAATAGCCACGAGACTACAGTTCATTCAGTTTCTAAAAAAAACAACAACAAAAAACCCACTTCGATACTGAATACTATGATGTAAGTTACACTTGACTTTAAACAAAACTAAATGTGAATGAAACACTTAAGAGACCAACGTCTTTGCACTAGTCTTTCAAGTAGAGTACACAGAGGAACCCCCCCCCCCAAAAAAAAAAACCCACAAAAAAACAACAACAACAACAACAACAACAAAACAAAACAAACAAGGCTATTGCAAAATTAATATAATTAGCAAAATAGTGCCGTATTCTTTTTAGGAAATTCGCTGTACCTTAAAAGGAGCCACTTCGTCAAAATGACCTTGGAATGCGTAGGAATGGAACTGATAAAAATCAAGGGTACCCTGGAAAGTGAAAAAAAATTATTAATATGAACACTGTTTAATTTCTAGCTGTAAACGCAAAAATTTACCTTCACAACATTTTTATAACTCTTCAAAGACGCAGAGGACACTTAATATGTGCGATCAGCATCCGATCAAATGCAATAATATGGAATATGGTGCTACGTGATATAAAAAAATAAACGTATGTGTCAAGACATGGTGGAATCAGCCTCTCGTCAAGTTTGGACATGTCGTGCCTTTAATGGTAGTATCATCTCAAAGCTTGTTTATTTGTTTTGCTTTTGATGAAAAAGTTACCCCGAAAAATCTCCAATATAAGTCGAGATATTTGCCATTGAAGGGGGTGGGGGTTGCCTGATTTCAGGGGTAAAATTGCCAAGAAAATGGCACCAAAGTTGGGTGATTTCCAAAGCTTGGAAGTCCTTGGAAACTGCAATTTACATTTTACTTTTTGTACCTATTATCGTCGTTTTTCAGTAAAGTTCGCACTTAAATCGGATTTTTTAAGAACATAAACTGTGTCTAGCCAAGAATAAAAAAGAATTAATTAAAAAAGAAGAAAAAATGATTATTCAAAAAGAGCATTCGGAATTTTTTTTCCCCCAACTGCCATAAAAATGCCGATTTCTTTTTATTGATTGTTAAAATGAGTGCGCCTGATTTCACCACGATGCCTCACAAATACGACTTGTATTATCGAACCATCAAACGCACAACTGCGACACAAATTTGCAGAATTCATATACATGTAATTCGTATTAACTTTTCCCCTCTCACTTTTAAGATCAGATAAAGACCCACTGATAACATACGGCCTAATGTTGTTGCAAGTGCCATAAAACTCTTACTAACTAAAACTAAAAACATAAAATGTGAAAAAATAACGTTCTTCTTATTGTTCTTCTTCTTGTTCTTCTTCATGTTCTTGTTTTTCTTCTTCTTCTTCTTCTTCTTCCTCTTCTTCTTCTTCTTCTTCTTCTTCTTCTTCTTCTTCTTCTTCTTCTTCTTC